TTGTCAAGAGAATCTACTTCTGAATCTATAATCTCGTTGATACTTAAGGTAATGTTGTTTTTAAATAACGTCGCTACGATATTCTTGGATACACATTCTGGACATTTGCACCATCAATAAAGCTTTATTCTTAAATCCGAAATTGAATGGATCTGATAAAAAAAAGGGCGTAAAACTACTTAATTCAATTCAATTCAATTTCAGTTTATTTACGTGAATGTTTTTGTTTTTGTTTTTTTTTCTTTCAATTTTATATAATAGAATTATAAAAATATATTAAGTTTGTATAATATTTAGAATTTTTACTATAATTAACATATAACAGGTGTAAGTGTACGACAGCCAAAGGAGCTAAAGCTTTCTAGTTGGCTGTCTTAGTTTTCACTTAGGCTCTAAAAAGAAAAAAGGAAAAAAAGAAAAAAACTACAAGCCTATGATATAATAATATTATTATTATTATAATACTGTAAAAATAATAATGCTACTGTGTTTAAATAGGTCAAAGCACGCCGGTTACCTACTAAGTTTTTTTCGTTAAGTAGCTTTTGAGTAGCTTTAAGGTCGTGTAAACCTCAAGGTAAAAAAAGGTTTCTTGATTTCCCTTAGTTACCTCTGGTAAGCCATAATTTGTCACGGTGTAGTTTTGCTCTTCTCCCTGACCTTCCCTATTTTGAAAATACTGAGTGGATAGAATTAATTACGGGTTTATCATAATATTTCAGTTTCGTTGAACCAGGATTGATTTGGCACTCTTTTTTACGTTACCCCCTCGGTAACTGAGCGGAGAAGACAAAATGGCCCTACCTAGCGGGCACCAGAAAAAGGCCGCTGTGTAAGCAGGGGGTATATTCACGTTTATATCACTAAGAAAGGAGCACTAATAGAGAAAGATGAGAGCATTGAAAAAAATTGCCCATACATTTGGAATATTTGCTCTTTTCGGTCTTTTTCCTCTCTTTCCAAAGCAAAAGGTTGTTCTTAAAAGTAAAGTTATATAGCACAAGTAAACTGCGTGACAAAACATCCTCAATGACCCTGTAAATATTCTGTTCTTCGCGAACTACTGTAGTTAGCGTGTTTTCGAGGCTACTGAAACCTAACGGAAACCATAAGAGGCGAATGCATAGGCCAACAGA